TGACGATGACCATGATGATGATGATGACGATGACGATGATGATGACGATGGCGATGATGATGATGATGATGATGACGATGACGATGATGATGACGATGACGATGATGATGATGACGATGACGATGACGATGACAGTGACGATGATGATGACGATGATGATGATGACGATGACGATGATGATGACGATGACGATGATGATGACGATGACATACGATGACGATGATGATGATGATGACGATGACGATGACAATGACGATGATGATGAAGATGATGATGATGATGACGATGATGATGACGATGACGATGACGATGATGATGATGACGATGACGATGATGATGATGATGACGATGATGATGACGATGACGATGATGATGATGATGACGATGACGATCATGATGACGATGACGATGATGATGATGACGATGACGATGATGATGACGATGACGATGATGATGACTATGATGATGATGATGATGACAATGATGATGATGATGATGACGATGACGATGACGATGATGATGATGACGATGATGATGACGATGACGATGATGATGACGATGACGATGATGATGATGATGACGATGACGATGATCATGACGATGATGATGACGATGACGATGATGATGATGATGATGATGACGATGACGATGGTGATGATGATGACGATGACGATGACGATGACGATGATGATGATGATGATGATGACGATGACGATGATGATGATGATGACGATGACGATGATGATGATGATGACGATGACGATGATGATGACGATGACCATGACGATGACGATGACGATGATGATGATGATGACGATGACGATGATGATGACGATGACGATGATGATGACGATGGCGATGATGATGATGATGACGATGACGATGATGATGATGATGACCATGACGATGATGATGACGATGACGATGATGATGACGATGACGATGACGATGATGATGATGATGATGACAATGATGATGATGATGATGATGATGATGACGATGACGATGATGATGACGATGACGATGACGATGATGATGATGATGACGATGACGATGACGATAACGATGATGATGACGATGACGATGATGATGATTATTATTATTACCGGTATTATTATGATGATGATGATGATCACTCTTCCAGGTCCTTTTGGTAGCTGTCCAGGGTTTCCATCCATGCACAGGTTGAAGCCTTTGAATGGCGCTCCAAAGCACCAGAGGCAGGACCAAATCATTGGTCAGAAATCTGGTGGAGATTGCGCATTCCCACAACGTCATATCATCTGGATAAATTATGCGACCTTACTGTGACGTCACTACTGAAAATGATGGTAAGTACGAGGAATTACCCCCTTCACTAGCTCTCAGGTTTGTGAATTATCATAATTGGCCTAGTGTAGAATGACAGTAATGTCGGCAAACCCAATGCCACAAACCTACATAAACCTACCATCTTGATCCATTTTGTTGTTTTAACCATTTTGATCACCCATCAAAATGGTGATGCCTTGATGCTTGGGGTCCAGGTCCTGGCTCTTCAGCCGCCAGCGGCCACGGAGTTGCGGCCACCGAATCGAGAACTGGGCGTGGCCAACACCAGGGAAGTCCTGAGAAAGTTGCGCAAAGAAGAGTTTCTTGGCGAGACATAGGGGTCAAAACTTGGAGGTCCGGTTCGGGTCGGATCGAAATCTGATGTGGATGTATTTGAAGTTGGAACTTGGGGCAAAGCAAAAAGATCTAATAGGAGGATTCCAGACTTGATTTTGTTTATTTATGGCATTTTGGGTACCACCACCCGTGAGGAGCCTCTTCACTGAGCTCACCATGTCAGAGATGGAGGCGCGCCCAATGGTGCCGAAGCCTGCTGTTCTGGGATGGCTTGTGCCGGTGTGATCCTAGGGGGTTCAAAGTGATGCCTTTGTTTCATAGAGTCAGGTAGTTCTTTATTGGTTATTTACCCCCGTGATATCTATGTTTTTACATCTAATTTTTTTGAGTCTGGATGATCAAGGGGATCTGCTCTTCTAAATTAGATGGTCGATGATGAATAGTAAAAATGACTAGCCGTTGTGGTGGGTCAATTGCTACAGTGTTTGGTCATTATTCCCATGTTTGGAACCCCCCAACTGTATTCCATTGTGGAATTACCCTGATAGCTCCTGACTAAGGCCATCAAATGGTCTTTTTGGATTGCAAGATAGTGTAAGCATTGCCACTTGCTAAGCGGGATGAAGGTCCTTATCAATATCAAGTTCTAAAGGTGCATTTTTCATGCTGATGTCAGCAGCTTCCAGGAATTAGCCGACTTGTGCTCGCCACTCTCCTTTCAGCGAGGGGAGGCGCAGCGGCGCAGCGTCAGTGGCGACCAGATGTGACAATTGAATCATTAAACATACCCTGGTTGATTGGTTAATGTAGGGACTTCTGCTACTTAATCTATTGGGGATTATGATAACCCTTAGTAGGAAAACCTATCAACCCACTAGTGTAATGAGATGGGAAAACGGGGTATTTTCAATGGCTCAATTTTCTCTAAAATGGGAATCCTCCTAGATCCAGCCTGGCCAGCCTGGTTTTCTCATGCTTCCGATGTTTTTGGCTAAGCCGCTAAGCCATGAGCCATGTCCTACAATATTGGAAGATGACAAGATTTGTGGGTCAGGATGTGTTCATTGGCTAGGAGAACAGGTGGTTGAACATGGATAGTCAGTGAACTAAAAAAGAACAATTGGATGGTGGTCCTTCCAAAAATGAACAAACTGCAGATCAGCCTTACGAAAATGAACAACTCCAAGAGCATCATCTACACCATCCTGGAAGCACTTTTCTATCTTGTTGGGAGTCGTCACTGTGAACCCAATGGTCAACTACCACCCCATCCCAAGCCGTCAAGCCGTCCACTTCGCCAGGTGATTTTCTCCCGCGGCGAGCCCTGCACGTGGCTGGGTCTGCTCCTGGCGGGCCGCTGCCAGGCATTTTTGCCGAATGGGAAGAATGAGCTTCGCATGGGAGAGCACTTGCCAGGAGAACCTCTGACCAGAGGTGGAGTGAACGGAGTGAACACAAAAAGGGACATCAATATTGAGTCAGCATAGACCCTTTGGTCTTTCCTTGTAACAAGGTAGATACTGGTAGATTTTTCAGATACATATCTAGTTCACTCCTATGATCTTAACATCAAGAAGGTCACCCGGAAACCCGGTGGATCCTGGCGGCGCTTCAACTCGAGGTTGCTGGGTCTGTGGGTGTCCTGAAAATGGGGGGTACCCATTGGATTTCCAAGGTTATTGATCAACCATCTTAGATGGTAATTAATCAACCATCAAACCAATCGCCATATTCATCAACATCAAGCGCCATGTTTGATTTCCAAGGAAGTGGACCATATTGTGGTTAGATCCACAGTTAATTGTCATCTTCGGTTCCGAAATCATCATTTTGAGCGATTAAATTACTATGAAATCACCATTTTTCGAGCGGATATATCACAACAAGATCCCCATTTTCCTTGGTTAATCCCATTAAATCCTAATGTTCTTGGAATAATCCCATTAAATTATTTAAATTACAAGTTCCATGAAACTTCCTAAGGAAATGCTGGGCCTGGCACGCGTGGCCCTCTGGGAACGAAGCCATGCACGGGCCTACACCTTGCGGGCCATAGAGGACGGCTGCATCGCAGTTCTAAGTGGCTGGTCTTGGGATGAAGTTGGTAGGGCTTCCACCAAGAAAAATGGATAGATATGGATAGATCTGGGGGTGTCTTAAAATGGTTTGGGTCCCCAAGTCACCATGATCCATGGTTCTTTGCATACGAACATGGTTTATGATGTTTATTTTTGGATGATGTCTCCAGCTGTTAAATCAACCATACATGGTGATATCATGGGGATATTATAATATATTATAGTAACAATTATGATCATCATATTGTGTGATATAAGATTAACAATCCGAGATTTGGCCATGGGAAAATTGTGGGAGTTCACATGATTTCACCAGTGTTTTGGGGTACCCTATTTTCTGAGAAGCCTGGATTGATGTTGGGGGATCAATAAAAGAAACTTACTCTCTGGTAAACTAACATACTGTAGCTATTGAAAATGGTGATTTATAGTGGATTTACCCATTGAAAATGGTGATTCTCCATAGTTATGTTAGTTTACCAGAGGGTATGTTTCATAAGTCATAAGGATTCATAAGAATTCATAAGGGATATTGACAGGGTCCCCAAGACTGACCGCGGAAATCATGGACTTGGTGACTTGATTGAGTCTAAACTAATAGGCTGACCTCAAATCACTCCGATTGATTTTGGGAGACGGTGGTTACTGTGGGATATCTAGAAACCCAGCAAGCCAGCAAGGACCTCATGGTGTCGATCCATGAATTTTGCACCTGGATTCATGACGAATCCCTCAAGAAGTCACCAGCAGATTGCCAAAGTGCAGAAGATCATTGTAGATCCTTCAGATCATCTCATTTCTGCCCCTTTCTGGTTCAAAAAAATAGTATGGTTCAAGAAAGCTTCAACTTTGATAGACCAGATTTTTGTCTTCGTATCCACCTTTCCATCAGAGCAGCCCCCAGGTTACGATCAGCTGGAAGGCATTCGCCGTTCGCGTCCCGCTTTTCACCACAACTTGCTACGGGCCCTGCTGCTACAACTGGCAGATGCCTGCGGCTGCTTCTTCCGTGGCTGCCCCGTGCCTTGGGTACTGACAGGGAAGCACTTGGGATGAGGTCATAACTAGTTGCATGATGTTTCAGTAATCTCTGAGTGGCCTGGGTGATGTTTGTCATATGTTGTAAGTACGTTAATATACGTATATATATATATATACATATATTGTGTGTGCCTCACTGCACGGCATCGTTGACCATGGCACTTCATCCACATGTTCCATCGTGTTCCTGAGTGTTGTTGTCCTCCAAATTAGCAGCAGCTGTGTGCACTTTCTGTTGGACCCTCCGTTGGATGGTCAAAGCAATGGCTTTCTACGCCTCTTTTTTCAAGTTGAAATCAACCAGCAGCTATACTTGGGTTGCTGGTAATACTGACAAATATGAACCACGTTTTATTCTTATATGGTAGTGTATATAGTGTGTATATATATATATATGTACAGTAGTTATATATATATATAGAGTTATATATATATATGTATATTATACTGTGTTATATAATACACTTATAGAATATTGCAATATACATATATATATATACATATGATCATTTCATCGCTATCCCCATGAGTATCTCAGCCCGATCCCATCTGAGGTGTCCAACCGGCCCAAGTGGAGCCTCGGAGAATTTTCCGAGCCCAGGATCTTGGACTTCCTGCTGAAACTGCGGGAGGAGGGCCGCTTGTTGGCCAATGCGGACTACAACTGCTGCTGGGTGGCGTTTTCATCACTGGTATACCCTCTGGTAATTTAACATAGCTATGGAAAATCCACCCATTTTTAATTGGAAAATCCACGAAATAAATTGCCATTTTCAATAGCTATGTTAAATTACCAGAGGGTATATCACTGGTTAATGGTTGATAAATGATCATTTTACTGGTTAATGGTTGATCAGTGGCAATCAAATGGCTATTTTTCCGGGGTGCAAATGGGTGCAAGTGATACGTTTTTTGGGGGATGCATGTTCTTTGGTAGAAGCTTCTGGACTCGGCTCCCCCAGGTTTGTTGACATTGGCATGCCGCTTGCGCATCACCCAATGGCAAGCCCGAAGCAACGTCATTTCAAAAGGAGAGGCGTTGAGCGCCTTGGCAAAGTGAGCTGATGAATGCCTTTCCCGAACAAGACTATTACTAACAGTATAACAGTATGTCAATGCAGATGCATGTTGAATTGAATTTGTGTGGCAAATCACAGTATGCATGCATGTGTAAATTTTAAGTTGGGCTGAAGGAGCATCATTGTTTTTTGTGTCGTCATCCTCATTACCATCCTGATTCTCATCCTCATCACAACTATGGAGCTCAGACTTGGTCCACTAAGCCATCCCGTCTAGATCTTACTTTGCGCATTTGGCCAGATGGTACCAGGCATATCCAACCCCTCAAGTTCAAAACCTGCAGTGGGCTCTTAAGCTATCCTAAACTCTGTTTTTTGCTGCAAAAAAAACAACTAAACTCAAGTAAATATCCCTGAAACTTTGTCCAGGGCCTTGAGGGTCAGATTCTCCCTGGGATTTGGAGTCGAGGTGGAGCTTTGATCCTCTTCGAGGGGAAGATGACGGGCTTCCGGGATGCGGGTGGATCGCCTTCAGTATTCTTCAATCCTGGAGATTGCATTGGGCTGGAGCACCTCGGTAGAATTCAGTAGAAACTCTATGGTGCTGGAGTCCTAGAGTGGAAGATGGGAGATTCCGACATTGTCGACATGCATCATCCCGCGTTTTTGTTGGGGGTTTGAGTTTTGTGATGATTTCCAAATTATCCCATCCAGACTTTTGGACCAATATAAGCACACCAACAACATGCAAAAGTCATCCTCAAACCATTTTCTTGGATACGTTCGGGCAGTGTGAGTAGATGAGTAGTAAAGATAGTATACCCACATCCAGATGTTTGGATATTTCAGCAGCAAACATTATCCCCGGAGCTGTTTGGTAAGTTATTTTGTTCGACTTTTACTTCATCCATTATCCATCAATCCAGAAAATTTGAGGATCCAATGTGGGCACTTTTTTGTTGAAACAAAAGCACCATATAATGATGGTGGTTATGAAGGATAACTGTCCCAAGATGACCTTGGTGCAGGTCGGAGCATGATGTTAAAATTCATCCAGATATGTCAAATAAAACCAACACTGCCTATCCTGGTAGTTTTGGATGAACTGTGACATGTTTTTGCGTTTTTCTCCGGTTAAGCCATCCAGTTTCAACATCAACCAGCGTGATCCAAACAAATCCAAATTTCATCAACAATGCAGTGAAACAGTGAAACCATCCAACTTGAATTTCCTCCAAACTGTGCTCCAAAAGTCAAACGTGTTGAATCATCCAATATGTTCAAGATCATCCAACTTCTTTGGTCCCAGCACCCCGGTTTGTGTGAACATTGTATACCCCTAAACCCTAAATCCATTCATTGACCATCATCATTGTCCAATCAAAATTGCCCGTTTTCAGAAACCTGAATCACCACATATTTTTACAGATTTTCGGCCAGCATACCTGGCATACCTGCTCGGTTTGTAGAGCGAGGCATCGCAGTCTCTGAAACTTGCTGTGCACCTCAGGTGCTAGACCCGCATGCTGACCCTTTGTGCTGCAAGTCGTAGACTCTTGAGCGCTCCTGCATCTCTCACGCAGGGAGACGCCAAATTGTTGGCCAACCAAATCTCGACCTCATTCAACGCTCGAGCATCCCAGGGCAGAGAAATTGACGGTAGATAGGCTTGAACCACCTCAGACTTGGGTCTGCACTGCTCCATAGCCGCCATGATGCCAGTTTCACGGATCAAAGCTTTCAGGCATTGTTGAAACCAGCGGACACGTTGACGGAAGGGAAACACTTGTGCAGCTAAGTATAAGGTCTGGTGTTCACGTCGACCAATTCCTTTTGGATTCTCAGAGGGCCAGGGTGACCCCATGCCAACTGAAAGTCAATATTATAGAGCTGAGTGAATGAAATCCATATAGGGTCACGGCCCTGATGTGCGGTAAGTCGAGCAAAGAACCATTGAGTCACCTTTTTTCCGATACCTGGCCCATAGAGTTGAAAACCTTGGTGGCAAAGCCCCACCTCAAGGGCCTTGACGGAACTGCGGGATAAATTCCCTCGTCTGGCGCATCGGCACAACAGCAGGTTCTCCGGTTTCATTGACACTGCTGTGCACCTGGCGCTTCCCAGCTGCAAGGTGTAATGCCATGACTTGGTGACAAATCTTCTCTATAGCAAAAACTGCTGCAACGTGCTGTTCCCAAGTCTGCCAAAACTGTATTGTCCGAGCCTGATTGGCAAGACGAGCAGCCCGGTCCGCATAGTCGTTGTGAACAATTGTCCACACATCTGAAAGCGTCTGTCTGCGCACTATGCAGGGTGCGATGTGCGTGTACCTTGCGAATCTGAGCAAGGTCACGCCCCAAAGCGTATTAGTTTCTACTGACTGGAAAATCCAGGCCCAAAGGTCAGCATTGAATGCTGCGGTTGACATTGAGCTTCTTCTGGCCCCAAACAAGCAAATGAAACTTCATAATTACCCCAAAGCAATCTGTCCAAATCCTGATGGGAGCTCGAAAAATGGCAGCCCAATTCAAGGCATATCCGACTGCATATATAGGGCTCTGCGCGGTAAGCTGTCTGGCACAGCCCTGGCAGAAAGGCTGCAAGCACTGTGGCACCACCTGGTTTCCATGTCGCAGTAAACTTTGGCGCAACGACCAAGCAGCAAAGCGAAACAAAGGCTGAGACTGATACCCACTGGCCACAGGACCCATCAGTAAACGCCTCATTCCAGACATGGGGAGACAAGCGCCAGACGGCAAAGGAAGCTCAGTAGGCAGATGAACAAGGAGCGAAATCCACTGATCCCAGGTGGGTGGAAGCAGAGCCCACCCTCGGAGAGACAACGCAGGTGGCAAACAGTCAAGGAGAGGCAGGGCATCAGGCGCCAACCGGTGTTTGAGCGTGTCGACTTGACCGCACCAGTGGCAGGAATCTGCCTGATCTGCCCACTTGGCCTTGAAGCTTTCCGTGAATCATCCACCAATTAATCCGAGCCGGTATGCACGGCCTGGTCATCGGCTGACAACGGGTGCAGAGCTCTCCGAATTGCGGCTAAGTCCACATGCCAAATGAACTCGGATCGATGGGGGGGCATGGTCACCCTGCACACGGATGCAAAGTCCAGCAACTGGGGATTGCAAATCCAAGGGCAGCCCTGTGGCATCATCAAGCCATTGGCCATTCAAAGTGTCCTGATTCAGGCTCAGCTCGGCTTGGAACCATTAAAGCAGGGCGCTTGTGGCATTGACCTGAACCTGAGTAGACTTTCCATCAGAGTACACAGGTCGAACCCATCCTGCAGCAGGAATCGAAGCAGTGACATTGGGGAACATTTGCCTGGCGTACTCAAACAGCGAAGTCTTGAAGTTTCCCAAGAGTTCAACTGTATTGCATTGAGGAAGTCCAAGGTAATGCTGCAACTGCTGCACAACACATGCACCCAAGCTGATTGCAAAGGAGAGGCCAACTGGCCCACAGCGCTCAGGCACAATCTAAGGTTCTGACAGTCAGGCTCATGCCAAGCAGCCGGTGGAAGCATGCCATTGCGAAGGGCCAGCTCATATGGATGGAGGTGCCTATACACACAACGTCCTGACACAACTGGTACCTGGACCAGCTGGGCACAGATCCCACGTTGACGGATCACATTCTCATGGCTGCATCCGCAAGGGCAGTCAGTGGATTGGTTTCCCCAAGCATGGAGACTGGCGGGGAGCTTTCCATCGAGTTGCATGGTGTACTTCCTGAGGACTGATCCATCTGGGTTGAAACTAGAAACTAGAAACTTCATGATCAGTGAGTTGCAACTGTCGCAAGACTTCAGGTGACCAGCCAGTGTTTGACAAAAGGCATGACATCACGAATGGTCAAGTCGGATGCTTGGGCCAGTCTGGCACTTTCACAGGGCACAAGGACGGATGTGTTGCAACAACCCACCACCTAAACCGTCGGGCACGCCAGGCACCTTCAAGGCGCAAGGTCATTTCATGAATGTGGTATCCAAGCTTCTGTGCCAACACCTGCAAGTGAGATCGGACATACTGATTGGTCCTAGCCTGAGTCACACCTTCCAAGATCATGACAGGACACTGAAACAAGTGACAGGCACGCACAGTAGAAGGGACTGCGTTGGATCGCTCATCATTGGATCCTGTCTGTGTGGAGTATGGCTGACATGAAATTCCACACATCATGGTGAATGGAGGTGGGATCCTCTGGGCAACCTCTTTCAAGCAAGATGGGTCACAGATGTCCCCATGGACAACAGGAACACCGGGATGAGAGGCACGATGAAGATGGACATAAGGCTCATGCCACTCCATGCTGCACACATGACTGAAGCCAGCAGACTGGAAGACTCAAGACCTTGACTGGAACAGGACAGACCAGCACAAAGTTCGACACACCTGAAGACATCCAAGGCTTGCCAAAGGCTATCACGGCAGACTGATCGGTGAGAAGCAAGTCAACAGCATCTCCAGCTTGTTCAAACAAGGCATCAAAGACAGTGATGCGTCTGCATCCCTTCGCCTGTCTGTCTATCCACAGCCCCATGCAGATTCATTCTCCTAAGGCCAGGAACTGTGTGACACCTATCATCATCTCTGTTGTATGAACAGTAGCATCCAAGACAATTGAAACCTTGGAACCACGAGTCAATGTCGACCAAATTGGATTGAAGGGGTCCAAATCACATGGATCGAAACACTCAAAAAATCAGCAGGCACGACCCTCCCCTGGTAGGATTTTGAGCCCGGGCTAGCCTGAATCACCAGCGTTGCTTTTACATACCCAGAATCTCAGTATAAAATTGTTGCTTTTCCATATTCTTGTTGGTTAATCAGTTAAATCCCCATCCAAATAAATTATAAATTAAGCGGGACCTTTTCCCTATCTGATCTTTCTTTGTCAGATCGATTGAATCCCTATCATATCATATCAAAAGTATTTTTTCCATGGGTATCTCCATGGTTGGTATCCCATCCATCCTTGCACCATGGCCTTGTCGCCTCGGTAGGTACCTCTTGGGCGGCGTCCAGGCGAGTGCCTTGGACGTCTTCGCGGCACGCCCGAGCCTGGCGGCGCTGCTGCGCAACGACGACCTGCAGGCGGAGTTAGGGGAGTTGGGGATGTCAAGGGTGGGGAGATCATACGAAGCAGTGGTGATGTCAGCAGCAAAACCACGCTATATATATATATATATATTTATATATATATATATATTTATATTTCTATTTACGTATATATATATATATGTATTCATTTATTTATTTATATGTTTAAATAAATAGAAAAAATAGTGAAAAATATAATATATATATATATGTGATATATTTATTCAATATAATCGATTTACACTAATAGGAATGTCACCCACTGCACCAAATAAATCCAAAAAATATGGATGATCCGATGGTTGGGAAGGGTTTTGTGTTTTGTCTTTCATTTTGTGGGAATACCAACCGAAAGAGGGACGTTCACCACCAATGACCATTTAATAGTTAGTAGTGACCATCCTTTTTTATTTTTAACCGATACCCTCCTGAAGACAAAAATGATGACATAAAACCCATCAATTGATAAACATGAGATCTAAACGAAACGGACTTGGCCAGTTCAATCGTTGGGTTCCATGTTGGTGTGCCGAGGTGATTTTTTTATCAATGGCCAGGATCAACTAATGTTTTGCAAGGGAAAAAACAGGACAGTCATAGTATACAGAAGTTGGGATGTAGACTGTAGACTCAGATATTTTTTTTTTGATGAATTGCGCCCCACTTGTCAGGACATCCGCCGTGAAAATCCTGCTATAGCCACACAGATCTTGCAAGCTTTGCACGGCAACTTGACATTTAAGGAAGTTATCGGATGCTCGCAGGTTGGCTGTAACTGGGTAAAATCGTCTTCTCGATTTGGTCATTTTAGTCACTCAGTTCCCCTTTCGATGTTAGAAAAAATGCCCTCAACTCAGGTACCTGGCGGTACCTGTTACCTTGTTGGCGCAACGTCTGAGGAAAGTTCTTCATGGAGCTGGCAGCACCGCATCCAGAGTCCTTGCTCCTCATGGCAGAGGCATGACAAGGGGATTGATGGACAGCCATGGATTGATGGTTTATCCAGCCGTAAACATGGTAGGGAATGGTGGATCCTATTGTTTTGCAATAAAATAGTTTCTGTAGGACTTGGCCAAAGACCCGCCCCCTAAAACCAACGCTACATCCACTTCCACATGCACCTGTCCATTTGGTGGTCGGTGAAATCTCCATTTTGTTTGACGAACCACAGAATCTGCACATCAGCAAATCACCGCTCCTGTCGGTACCCATTTGGAGTTTTTTTTGGTGCCATAAACTTGAAAAAATGAACATCTATTTTGGGATAGGTTCTGTGGAATCATGTTTTTCTGAATTTTCTGAATCAAAATTCATCAAACGTCCAATATTTAGCAAGTTGATCTCCATGTTTTTTGCTTCAATTTCCCAATCAAACCCTCATGTTCATTATTATTATATATATCGTACAATATCATATATATATACATAATTAAATATTATAAAGCATTTATATATAGTATCCCTTTATATTACCATAAGATTGTTGCTTTAATACCGCCCCATGGCAATAACCCATCAATTCAATATCCATTATCCCGGATAGTATCACTACAGACAGGTTGGTTAAGTTTGTGACATATCCAGTTGCATCACTACACATATGTCATAAGTCCCATAAGAAATGTCCGTTCTCATTGGTTCAATCCCCATATCCCCAATGGTGGTGATACCCCAATGAGATCCCATTCAACTCTTCTAATATCACCGCAAATTCCCATAAGAATCCATAAAAAAAATGATGTGTCGTTTCTCCACTATTTTCCCAGCATTTTTCGCCAAAATCATCCCATGGCCCCCTTGTAGCACTTCCCCAGGCCACGGCGCGGCTGCGCTTCGCCCCGGCGCAGCACCCGGGGGCGCTGGCGCCGCTGCGCTTCGTGGGGCAGCTGCCGCCGGAGGAAGCGAAGCAGGCGCTGCAGCTGGCGGAGAGCACCGCACCGGTGCCGCCGGGGGAACCCAGCGTCAGGGGCATGGCATGGATAGGGAACATCATTGACACTATATTAGTGGGTTTATATGGGATTATTATTGTGTATATTTATGAGAACTATATGCAGGTTTATATGGGATTACTGATGGGCTTTAATAGAAACAATGTCAGATATGGGTTTACTATGGTTTACTCGTAACAGTATGGACTGGCCAGTGTTCGTAGTATTTCAGCTCTCTAGTTGAGGGGCTCTACCATCAACAGTGGTATTTAACCAGCCATAATGGAATAAAAAAATGGAATTCTGGTTGGTGGTTTGGAACATTTTTCATTTTGCCATATATTGGGAATAATAACCCCAACTGACTAATATTTTTTTTCAGAGGGGTTTAAAAAAACCACCAACCAGAATTTCTACAGCAAAAAGATGGATTTCTACAACAAGATGAGCAGATAGCAGTAGTGAATGGGGTGTTTAAAGCAACTTATGGATGGGGGCATCCTGGAAAGAAAAAAGTGGATATGGAATATGAAACATCAACCATTGACATATGGGATTTAACCATCACAATGAATGGGATCAATCATTGAACTATCGGTATACAATACTATGTGATTTAATCGTTGAATAGAGGCCTCTCAGCATCAAACACCAGTCGTATCCTGTCTTGCAATCTCCAACTCATGACAGGGTCATGGAAAAACCAACCAGGCTGACCAGGCTTGTTGAATAAGTAACCTGTCAATATGATTCAGCATGTACCATTGAAACTACCCAACTGGAGATTGGTCATAAACGCATAAACATTGCTATAGAATTTCTGCTTGGCGGTTGGCGGTTGGTTAGTACAATTTGCATCGATTCAAAACTTGTCGTTATATGATAATAATAATAATTAATCATAATAACAACAACAACAATAATTATAATATATATATACGTACATATAAGTATTGTCATTATGATCATGATTATTATTATACTCATTGTGATTGTTTTTATTATGTATATGATCATTGTTATTGTTATTATACACATATCATAATAAACCTAGCATTATAGTACTATTGTGGTAATTATGATCATTAGTGTGTTTCTTGTATTATATCATAGTGGGTTACACACCTACCTGGCTCACCGCTGAGGCGCTGGGTGGATCCAGAGCATAGCCACAAGGTCGGGCTCGGAATTTGAACCGTTGCCGGGCAGGAATGTAGCTTCTAGGAATCTACAGATATCTAAATTTCATGCAAATATGTGTACATATATATATATATATTATATACATATTCATATATATATTCATATATATGTATATTCATATATATATACATATATATATATATATATCGGTATAGTATCATTAAGAGCTTCGGTTTTGAGTCCATTCCGCAGCAGTTGAACACGAACGTTATTAGGGGGCTTGTGAAACGTGCACAACTCCTATGAAACGTGCACAACTTCTATGGAACGTGCACAACTTCTATGGAACGTGCACAACTGCTATGGAACGTGCGCAACTCCTATGAAACGTGCGCAACTTCTATGATTGATATAAGTTCTCAAACACTGCAAAAAGCTCTTAACGATACTATACCCATATATATATATATATTTATACACATATTGGAGATTCAGATGCATGAGGGTTTGCTGTTTGGTATGGTCGGGGTGTGAGATGGTGAAATAGGCTACGGTTTGTTGTCGGTTGTGACGACATTTTGACATAGCCTGATGAGACTTGATGCCTGAGAACACAATGGTGCGATGTCAACCCAAACACGGTCGTTTCCCAAGAGATTGGACATGATTGGACGCTCCAAATATCTCCAAAGCGAAATCATCGAAACCATTTCAAACATGTTTTTTGTCCAATTTAATCTTTAAAGGATGTCAATGGTCAGTACCCCGGCTGCGAATGCGCCAGAAGTTGTTCCGACTATCCGCCGCTTGTAGGTCCTGGAGGGTCAAGCTGCCAGGGAGGAGGCTGCCATCAGGCACGCAATGGAAAAACGCATTTTGAGAAATTGGTGTTCTACTTATTGATGTTGATTTTATGTTGATTTTATGTATGGGCGCTTGTATGAATCCGGACGAAACAAGTCTTTCAATCATGTTCCTGTATATATATAATTTAATGTATACACATGCTCAAGCAACGTGATGCTTGCGCAAGCTTTAAGTTCTCTCGCTCAAGCTGACGTGGCCTGGTTGTTGGTTTCTCTGTGGGCCAGCGTGTAAAAAAGCCTGTTGCTTGATGACAAAGTGACTAGTTCAGGGATTGGGGATCTAAATCATATAACCCTAGCATCGCCTAGCATTCGTTCGTGGTTTAGGTTTTTCCACATGGTGGTTAGGGAACACCCATTCTGAAATGATCATGGTTGAATCCCAGGGATAGTATACCCCATCTGGTTTATTTTCCAAGATGGTTATTGCACCACCAACCAGCCATGTTTTTTTCCACTGGGACTATTCCACTATTAATGGATGATATATGCACTATTCCATATTTATTTTCCAATATATATATATATATCCCATGTTTTTTTGGATATCCTATATAGTGGGTATATCCACTATCCATATTTATATTCCATAGCTACCCTCTGGTAATTTAACATAGCTATGTAAAATCACAATTTTTAATGGGTAAATACACTATAAATGGCAATTTTCACATTGTGGCCGCTGGGGGCGTAGCACTTTACCACCCGAAGACGAAGACGAATTCCGAAGACGAATTCCCCTTAGAGGATCATTCCACCCGAAGACGCGAAGACGAATTCCGAAGACGAATTCCCCGAAGACGAATTCCCCCCGAAGACGAATTCCCCCCCGAAGACGAATTCCGAAGACGAATTCCCCGAAGACGAAGACGAATTCCCGAATTCCCCGAAGACGAATTCCCCCCGAAGACGAATTCCCCCCCGAAGACGAATTCCGAAGACGAATTCCCCGAAGACGAATTCCCCCCGAAGACGAATTCCCCCCCGAAGACGAATTCCGAAGACGAATTCCCCGCAGACGAATTCCCCCCCGAAGACGAATTCCGAAGACGAATTCCCCGCAGACGAATTCCTCCCCGAAGACGAATTCCCCTCCGAAGACGAATTCCGAAGACGAATTCCCCCCCAAGACGGGTTCTGAAGACGAATGGCACACTTCCAAGCATGGCAGTTGAAACGACCTTTGGCGCCAGGGGTCGTTTCTGTGGATTCCGAATGGCGACGATCTGCAGGTATCTGTAGGATTCTGTAGGTTCAATATGGTTTGGATTGGTTTGGCTTGATGCAGACACACACCACAGCAAAACACGTCATCATTATATAACTTTTTATTGAACCATCATTCCAAACTGGGCCAAGTAATTTTCAGCCGTACCCAGAGGATCCGCGGACATCCCCCCGGCAATATCCCTTACAAAGCAAGGAGCTCGGGCTCCCAAAACCACCAAGTTTTGCACAAGCACCTTCCTCTACAAAGCTTGGATCTCATGCTCTGACATTGATGCTAAATTAACTATTTTTTCAACATAAATGAATCCTAACTTTGTAGAGGGCGGCTTTGAGCCTGATGTGAAAATTTGTAAAAAATAGTAACCTATATCCAGCTTTGTAGAGCCAGACCCTTCTGATTTTCAATCAGTTTCAATTTCGTAACCCAAAGAGACTTCATAGCTTCACCGTTTGAAATTTGTAGTGGGAGTGGGTTTGTCTGCAGGAGTAAACAGGTTGAGGTTTGTAAGGTGTAGACTGGCCAGATGTTAAGGAAGTCAAAAAGTGACAACATGTTTTTTAAGAATATTCATTTGGTTTCATCGACAACCGCCATTGATTCAACATGATTCCAATAATATTCATTATTATTAATTACCGAAGTTCAACTTATCATCATTATAATAGTTGGTAGAACCATTCACACCATCATTGTCATCACTATCATCATCATCACCATCATCATCATCAACATCATCATCATCATCATCATCACCATCACCATCACCATCATCATCATCATCACCATCACCATCATCATCCTCATCCTCATCCTCATCGCCATCATGTTCAGCGTCTTTTCTTCATCATCACCATCATCACCGTCATCAACATCATCATCAGCAGGATCACATTCATAATCATAATCGTCATCATCAGCATCATCATCATCATCGTCACCATCATCATCATCATCATCATCGTCATCATCATCATCATCATCATCATCATCATCGCCATCATCATCACCATCATCATCACCATCATCATCGTATCATCATCCTACTAATCCATCTCATCATCATCAGTATCATCATCACCGTCATCATCATCATCATCATTATCATCATCATCATCATCATTCATCATCATCATCATCACCATCATCAACATCATAGGCATCTTCATCTGTCAGTGGGAACCTTTTGTTAATTTGCTGGCCGGGGGTGAACACCAGACTTAGCACGTGTCCAAACTTTAAACTCCACCAAATAATAATAAATATGTTGTTTCCTGCGGGGAAACCCACTGAGTAAGCTATGGGCTTGATAGCAAGAAACACAATTCTGCTCATTATTGTTGGAAGCTTCACAATCTTCAACAATGAATGATGCCATTGAATCTTGATATATCTTGATGATTTGAATCTGAGCATATGATCCGAATCATCCATAGCATTTTTGGGTTCAGCTATCCAACAGAACAGGGCAAAAATGACCCTGGAACAAATGATCCGGATTTTAGAAGCGATCAAAGATGATAAGCTGTGCCTGTCGTGCAGTTTCCTTTCATCTTGCCCTGGCTAGAAGAGTCCCTTAGGCCAAGCCAATGGTATATCTTTTTTGATAGATTTATTTCTATTTGGTTTCGATGGATTGGATGACTAGTATTTTTAATTGAATTATATTGAATTTACGTAAGGCTGAAATTAGTCAACTAAGGCCAGACCTTAGTGCCTTGCGATGCCTTGGTAGGGATTGTCATTGTGACACCCTGGCTCCGATACTGTTATGCTCGATCAATGGGAATCAGATGGCGAGGAATTGGAGATTGAAGGCAACTGACTGATAGCTGGTGGTTTAATTTTTTGGCCCAGTAAAAAATCCTGGTGCTAATTAAATGGAGTGGCATTAGACACTCGGTTCGACTACATGACTTCGGGGGCTTGCCGATAGAAAACTGCGTTGGGATCGAAGGGGG